GGTTTCTCTTCAGTACTAACATTTCTAGTCTCCCGGTGACATTTGATCATCCTGAATGAATTCTGTTCATTGTTTTCCTATTTAATCTATCACATTGTGGTTATACAGTAGCACCAGATGAAAATACTAAGACCAAATACAAAGTACAGTACATATTGTAAATTCTATGTGTTAATTACATGCTGCAGAACTTCCACCTTTTCAACAAAAGTAATTTCCAACTTCCAAAACCTTGCTGTTATATCACTAAAAAAACAAACCAAACAAAAAAATCTTGAATATACAGTATACTGCTTTTGACTAAATATGTTATCTATAATTTATAGGACAAACAATCAATTTAAATAGAAAAAGATTTGTTTTACATAAAGCAAGAGAGTACAAAAGCACAGCTTTTGTAATTTTGGTAATATTGCAATTTTACAAACATTGCATAGTATGTTTAAGAAAATATTTTCATCTTTTTATATATCTATACACACAAGAAAAAACATTAACATGATAGTTACAAAACAAAACAAAAAATGGTTAGCAGACCTTTTTTGAAGTATGGTTTTAAACAATACAACATTCAAATTCTTACCCAGTTTGCATCTGCATTACAGTGAATCAGCTGATAACTCCAATATTCTAAGTTTGGCTTTTATTTTGTTAACATGTAGGCAATGATTTAGAAACCCTAAAAATATCACAGGTTATTACAGATGAATATCCTTAACATCCATCATCAACTTCTTTCAGTCCCTATGGCTCTTTCTTCAATCCATACTAAATTGCCCTCTGTATCTAAATTGGTCTAAAGTGAATTGTGTTATCCAGTTAAACCACTGTGCAAGCAAAACAATGTAAATTATAAATTCAATTGAAGTAAGCAACTTTTTGGCACATTTTGGAATACACATTCTTTCCTCTTTTCATGATCTCATAATCAGTGAAAGATCTTGTTATGTCTGAAAAACAATGTAATTGGACAACACTGACACACTATCCCTCTGGAAAAAAAAATCTACAGCTCAAAATGCTGCACAGAGCAAAAGTACATTACCATTTCATGTTGTAATTACAACTTCTCCTCTCTTCCTTCCAACAGAATAAGTGGAAGCACCTGTCATACTATTAGAAGTGTCAGTCTTTGGTCTTTAACATTTAACCAGTGAATGAACTGCAGTACAAAACCATACAGGTAACAGTGCTCAAAGAGGTCATTCAATGTTTTTATTTTTTTTTTAAACAAGAAAGAGACAGTATCCTTTTCTATTATAACAGGGACATTTTTACAACATATTATACTATAATATATATTAATACATGTAGCTAACAAGGTCTTTTTTATATTTCATTGTGGCCATATGAGCAATTCTGAGGAGGTCAGCCAACTACAAAACCACTTCAGTAGTGCCCAAGCTAACAGGCTACTAAAAAGAGGCAGTATGTGATACATGTATTCATATATTATAAAGCACCTTAGAGGATTTTTTTAGCCCCAGGTATTATTTTCCAAATTGGACATTTACTAATTTAAAAGAAAAAAGGTTTAAAAATGCTTTTGGGACTCTCACCCCTGCCCTACATCTGTCACAATGCAATGACCTGGACATTGGGAAGGTGTTGCCTTAGCCATGACAAGAAGGCGCATACCTTTTCTAAAGAGGGGTATCGGAACATTCAGCCAGTCAAGCAAACTAATTGGGGAAAGGGTTGCAGTTGCTTTATCATGAGCAGAATGGTAGCTAGTATAAATGGCCATAAAAACATTTAAGACACCAAGAGACTAGGCAAGGCAGCAAGGTGACAGGTGGCAAGGACAGCAATAAAAAACATCCTTCGGTTTTGAACATGTGGCCTCCTTTAGTTTCCACCTCAACTTCATAAAATCAATAGTTGAAATGTAGTGATATCACTCCCTGTTTCTGTGTGATCTATTTGCTGAGAGCATCCACTTGCCCTTCATCGAAAACTAAATACATGGGTGTGTGCAACTTTGCATTTTTTTTTTAGCACTATCACCAGTTGAACTGGGAAACAGGGAGAAACATTAATTTAAAGCATTTTAGGAACTTGTAAGTAAGGTTTTCAGTACTGCCAACTCCAAGCATTCAAAATTCATGAGTCAGGCCACAAAAATCATGAGATAGGAAAAAAATTTTAAGCCATTCTTGTTATTTTCCTTCGGCCTTAAAAAAAAAAAGGGTCACATTTTTAAGCTTTTCTCCATAACCTTGAGAGATAGAAACTTACTTTTTAAAAAAATGAATGGTGAGGTTCTTACATATTCACTTGTTTCCAGGAGCTGGGGTTTAAAGTAAAATGTCCAATTTCACAAGACTCACATTAACATTGGCAAGAGTTGGCAACACTGAACATACAAATGCTAGTGGAAAATGAATTCAGTCTTGTAGCCAAAATTAATCTCATCACATAATTCAATTTGTTTTTGCAATGTAATGAATTTCAGTTCACGCAGAAGTAGAAGTAGTTTATACAAGTTAGGTCATTCAGCCAGGGAACCAAAACTCTACCATATGATTCAGGTGACCAGTCATACAGTTCAAATATCATGAATGGAGAATACTCAAGGGAATACTCACAGCAAACTATTGTAAGCCGTTCCCACAGGCTGACATTCGTTTGCACAAACATTCTGCAATGCACTTTAAACAGCAAAGAAATATTCAGTCTGTTCACAAACACTTTGAGAACAGCACAAAGGGTTAATTTCACTGAATCAATGATTCTCTGCAATTTTTTGCCCATCTTTTAAATTACCAGCATATACACGTGTGCACAGGTGATGGAATGTATGAGCTCAGACACACACACTCATTCAGTGGTGTCCTCCTCTCCCTGGAATATCATTTGTCCTGATGAGTTTTACACATACATTCTGTTACCTATGTGCCCAAATGAAAGATATTTCTTTCCTCATAAGGTCGTTTGAAGGTCAAGTATACATTGACAGTTCCTACAGTTTTCTTGCAATGCTACAATTCTTTATTTCTTGTATTGCAGAGAATGAGCTTATAGAAAAAGGAAAACAAATGACTAATAACAGAAATATTTTTCTTTATTAAAGACAAGGAATTAAAGTCTCAAAACAAATACTTTAACTCAATAGTTAACAGCTGAAGAAATCTGAGCAAATGAAGTAGTCTAATTAAAATCCTTGTTTGACTATGTAGTAGCAGAGGGGATAGTTCTTCCTTTTCAGTGTAATTCATCCCTACACATAAGACTAGAACAAGGCCAAGTACCTGTGAAGCAGTGTACAGACCTTGTGCTGGTCTTCTGCATAAGGGTGAATGTCACCTGTAGTGAACAAAATAAACCCTATAGATGACACTAAAATAGAAAATTAATCACATTTTTATGGTTGCCAAGTTTCACTTTTTATTTTCTACCCCCCTAATACTACTTTCCCTGACTTCAGAGTTAATTTGGGAGCTAGTCATTGCATTGGTGTTCTTATAGTTAGACACAGCTAAAACTATGAGCTGTGTGGGATAACTGAAAAGATAATATTTAAAAGCACACTTACCTTATTGTTATCAAGTCATCTTCCCACAATAGGAAACATTTTTTATCTGTTTTACATTCCTGGATTCTGCAAGTTTCAAGATACTCTTGTTAAGCAGCAGTGAGACAAATTTATCAACAACATACCAAAGTGTCTTTTGCAGGAGCTCAATTACTTAAAAAAAAAAAAAAAAAAGGTAATGAAAAATGGAACAGAACTAAGTTCCCAGGTCAAGCTAGTCAAAAAGAGAGTTACTATGGAAAGCTGAGGGGAACTATGATAGCTTTATCTAAACACAGACCTGGTGGAGTCAACACAATGTCAATGTACTTGTTAATATTCTATGTCATTTCATATTTGCTCATGGATTTTTAATGCTATTACTTTAAAAACCTTAATAGCAGATGACAAAAGAAAAAAGGATAATAAATCTGAGGGTGTCATTCCAGTTGTAAATGAATTGCTTCTTGGTGTTATGCATTACATTAGTATTTATGTGTTTGTATTATGTTCAAATGGCAGCGGATAGACAAGCTATAAATGCTATAAAATGGACAAGATATACCTCTGAAGAGTGTGTCTTTTTTTTGCCAATCATAAATGTCTTCTGAAAAATACCTATTTGATCAGACAGTTCCATATCATCAATATTTCCCTCTTTATCCTGTTCTTCTTTTCCAGAAACTGAATGTTTTACTTGAAGCAATCACTTTATGTGCAATAACCCACTAATAACTGTGTAAGGCTATTCAGATCTGACAAAACAAGAGTGGATGTGTTTTGAACTCTGGAAATTGAATATTGCTGAGTGCTTGCAAAATTTACCTAAACATACAAAACCCTAGACTTAGAAGACAGAGTAACAACACATTTGTTTTAAAGAAACAAAACTCAGAGGGATTCTGTCTTTTTTTTGTTTTGTTTTGTTTTTTTGTTAAAAACCATGTACTGAATTTTAATTGTTTAGTAAAGCAAGCATCACACAATGCTTCAAAATTTTAAAATTCAGGGATAAAAGTTTACATCCAAAAAGATGAATGGAAAATTGTGCTTTCAGACAGTAAAGTTAATTATCATACAGGGGTTACCTATTCATCTCACGATTGGATTCTGGGCAAATTTGTATAAATACTGTATATATGTGTGCAGTTCATATCCAGGTCCTGCATAAAACTAAAACTATGTGCTTCACTTCACGTAGCAAAGGCACCTGTGTTATTCTCCCTTTTGGACAAAAGATGATATTATGATCCAGGTTTCCGGATGAAGATGACATTTATTTTTGAATATCTCACTCCCATCTCTACGTTGAGTGGTAACATGAGCCACAAGAGAAGGCAGCGTTGTATTCCTGCTTACACTGGAAGAAGTTGCTCTGCAGGCCATTTGAAGCTTCAGACTTGTCACAAGGGAAACCGAGCAGAACTGTGAAGCAGAGGGACAGTAACAAAAGGCTATTCTGGTGTGAGGAGAAAACGGAGTCATTTCAGCTCCACAAACAGATGTTGCTAGTGGATTGACAAGTAGAGCCTGCTCCTGCCGGGGAAAGGTACAGTTTACCATTGGGACAAACGCAGAGCTCATAGATAGTCTGTCGAGGAGTTGAGGAGCTAGATGGGGAAGATGAAAAGGAACCCATTGGTAGATTTCCCAGTCGGATTATATCTGCATTTAAAAATATCTGCAGAGGGGAAAAAATAAACAAACAACTGAATTTAATTTCCTTTTCCATCCTTTATATAAAATATTTTAAACTTTATTCTAATGTGCACCCGAGAGATTAATATGAATATCTAAACAACATACATTTCTACTGTTATTGCTTTTGAACACACATTAGTGCACATAATTGCAGTCTATGCAAATACCTCTTAACCCCTCACCCAAGACATTTATTCAACCGTAAGTGGGTGCCCGTACAAAAGCTTTCTGAGAATATTTCCTAAACAGGTTGATTTTTCTCTTGTATCTTTTATGATAGAAATTCATTCATTCCATGCAGTAGCATCTCCCTACCTCGAACAATTTGTATTTTAATGAGTGTGAAGTGCTATTAAAGGTCATTCCCTCATGTATTACTTTTAGTAGCAGAAAATTTGTTGTGAAATATGCTAAACTGTATAATCTTAACAATAACCACATACACATATTAGTTAAATAATCATATGTGTCCACATACACTAGATAATGTGCTTACTGGATTTGAAATCAGACTAAAAAGGTTTAAGATTAAAGTCTTGTTAAGAGCACAATCAAACTATAACCATTTGATTTCTGAACATTGTATCTCAGTCAGAAATGTGCTTTTTACTTTCTCTCATCCAAAACAACACTAAATGTTCTCAGGCTGGCCAGTTTGGAAAGGATAATGTGATCATGAATTTGTTTATAAATAGTTTTATAATGTTTAGAAAGTACTTCAGCCATCTGGCAAATTGCTCAGGGTGGTGAATAAATAACCACAGTATAATGAATTTTCATAAAAACAGATGAATAAAAAAGATAAGTTCTTCAGAGGGACAGACTGATAGAGAAAAAACCTCTGAAAAAAGTGAGCTTTTAGGTGTTTGGGTTTTTTTTTTTTTAATTAATTAGGGATGAACTGAGGAAGATAGTTTGAGTGAGGAGGTTCCACACCAAGCTAAAGCAAGATCAGCCATTGCCCTAGGTGCAACACTGGAAACTCTAAACAGCAGAAGGTGTTTCAATGTGGATACAAGCCCTGGAGATAGCACTATGAGACTTATGAGGTGGTGGGGATCCTGAAATACTTCCCAGTGCTTTAATATGTTATCTACCACATTATAGGCAGCAAATATATACAATGCATAATGGCATAGCATATATGCTGCTCCTCAATTCAGTAGGCAAACATTCTTTTATATTCAACACCAGCTGCAAATGGAGAAGCCATGGGAAAGCACCACTAACCCCCTAACGAAAGTGGATGATGATGGGCAGGCTATGATTTATCAGAAAGAAGACCAAGAGGAATTCTACACAGCTAGAAGTATCCTATTGTTATATTGTCAGTGAGGAAACTGCAGAAAATCTCTGAAGTTCCTGGTGGGAGGAATGGAACACATTGCTGTATGGGACATATCGTAACCCACAAGGCAATCAAGTGTGCCCACAAAGAGATCCTCAACTGTCCAAGGAAGACAGATGACCCTTGTTGGAGATTCCATACTAAGAATAATGGAAAGAACATTCTGCAAGAGGCAAAAAGACAAAAGGATGGTGTGCTGTCTTCCAAGAGCCAAGAAAGGGTCAACAGGATAACCTGGGTAGTTATAGGCTTGTCAGACTGACATTACTCCCAACAAAATAATGAAATACCTGTCAAGGGACTTGATTAATAAAGAATTAAAGGAGGGTAATATAATTAATGCCAATCAAGATGGGTTTGTAGAAAACAGATTTTGCCAAACTAACTTGATATCCTTTTTGAATGAGATTACAAATTTTGCTGATAAAGGTAACAATGTTTGACTTGGTACCACATAACACTTTGATCAAGAAACTAGAACAATATAAAAATCAACATAGCATACATTGAATGGATTAAAAGCTGGCTACCCAATTGGTCTCAAAATGTAAGTGTAAATGGGAACTCGTCATTGAGTGGGTGTGTTTCTACTGGGGAGTCACCAGGATTGGTTTTTGGCCCTGCACTATTTAACATTTTTATCAATGACCTGGAGAAAAACATAAAATCATTATTGATAAAAGTTTGTAGATGACACAAAGACTGGGAGGTATTAGTAAATAATGAAGAGGACAGACCAGTCTAGATTACTGGGTAAGCTGGAAGCAAACAACAATCTGCGTTTCAATATACTCACAGGACATGGGACTCTATTCTGGGAAGCAAGGACTCTAAGAAAGACTTGAGTGTCACAATAGATAATCAACTGAACATGTGATCCTAGTGCAATGCTGTGGTCAAAAGAACTAATATGATCCTTGCCTGTATAAACAGGGAAATATTGAATAGGACTAGAGATGTGTAACAGAGTGAACTGGCCCTTTCAGACTAGGAGGGGACCAGAAAACCTGGCTCCAGGAATGTTGGAATAAACTTAAAAATGGTCTTGTTGCAGGCAGACAGGAAACAGTCCTGATGAATTAGTAGATGGATGGGAAAAACCAGGACATTGTCCCTTTAAGGCCCCTGAACCAGGAGCTTGTACAGAAGGATGGGGGCAAGGCTCCCCTCTCTCCTGAACAACTGGACAGGAATGTCTCCAAAAGAGGGCTGTATATATGCTGCCTTATCCCTCAGAACAGAGAGTACTGTGACAGGGGGAAGGATGCCAGAGCCAGTAGGCTGAGCTCCTGCTAGGAAGGACAGCGTCAAGGGTCCATGAAGAACAGTCTGGGGTAAAATAAGAGCTCCGTATGCAGAAGAAGAACATGAGATGAGTTTGAACTATTGTGTTTATTTTGGAGACATTGAGGACCACTGTGCACTGCTTTCACCTATTAACCCAGCCCCATGTGGTGGTCAGGGGTAGTCCAAAGAAATACTCCGAGGAGTTCCTAAGAGGCCCTGAATAGGGGAAACAGAGTGAGCATTCTGCAGAGTCACCTCTGGCCAAAAGTGAGTGGTCAATAAATGGCAACCCTGCTACAAGAGATGATATTGCCTCTGTATTTGGCACTGGTGTGACTGCTGCTGGAATACCGTGTCCAGTTCTGCTGTCCATAATTCAAGAAGGACTTTGATAAATTGGAGTGTTCAGAGAAGAGGCATGAAAATCATTAAAGGATTGGAAAACATTCCTTAAAGGAGCATAAGTTATTAAATTTATCAAAAAGACGATTAAGGGGTGACAATTACAGTCTAAAGTACCCACAACACAGGAGTATTCATTCTAGCAGGCAAAGGTATAACAAAATCAAATGACTGAAGGTGAACCTAGACAAATTTCAGACTAGAAATAAAGTATAAATGTTTAACAGTGAGGGTAATTAATCAGTAGTGCAACTTCACCAGGATTGTGGTACGTTCTCTATCACTGGAAATTTTTAAATCAAGATGTTTTTCTAAATAATATGCTCTAGTTCAAACAGGAATTAATTTAGGGACATTTATAATGTCCTTATAATCTAGACTTCTGGATTTATAATCTATGAATCCAGAATGGTCTTTTTTATATCATTGTAGCTATAGTTGTGCAGAATGTCAATGTAGGTGTGTTGTACTGCTGTAGATGGGAACTTCAATGGAATTACCCAGGTGTAAGTCAGAAGAGAATCTGCTGCAATTATTTTTTCTAGTCATCTGAAGATTTGGAATGTTGCTTAACTTTAATTTCTGCTTCAGGTTTCACACTGCGATGCTGTGACAACTTGATTTTGGTTTTGCTACAATATAAAAAGCAGCATTTTTGTTTTCTTCCTGTGATTAATTGCTATGAGGCATACATTTGGCAATGCAATATGACATCATGCAAATGGAGTGGTAACAGAAGAAAGGGCAATACTACATTATTATCTGACAAGACAGCCTTGTGATATAATGATCTTCATAAGGAACAACTCAAAGCAAAGTGAACCTTTTGACAAAAAAAGATCCAAACCTCAATGGGAATTCATAAAAGAGCATACTCTAGCTATGAGCAATGTTTAAAGGAGTTAGAACTACTAGCAGGGATGTGTTTACGGTAAAATTATGCTGAGTCTCCTAGGATTTGGGCAACAAGATTATGAAATTCTTTGATTTTTTTCATGTTCAGTAGCAATACTGTGACAAAGTGCTTTCTTACATTAGCTATGGATGTTAGTTAAATGCTTTCCCTTTGAAAATTCTGTACCACAAGTAAGTTTTTTGTTACAGTAGTTCACAAACCATATCTTGGCCAGAGCCAGGCATGACATGACATGCACAGAGAAGAAAGGACAATTTCCAGTGGGAGCATACAAGATATTTGAGTAGACAGAAAAACAATATGAAAAAAGCTATTACATTAAAACAAAATATTTTAATAGTCTAAATAAAAAACAAAACAAAGGGTTTCAAAACTGTTCTGAGCCAAATTCCCCAGCTATTATAATCCCCACTTCGGCAAAATTCCTGTTGACATCAATTTTCAGAATTTTGTTGAAGTAAGGACTCAGAGAGAGCTGAAGGGATATGCTGTGAGATTCTCACTGCAGCTCTGGCTCCTCGATGCCATAAGGATTCTCCCAGCACATGAACAGTAGAAAACAGCTGTAAAGCTCCCTTCCATGGACCCCCTTGCAAGTTCTATGGGGCATGCCTAGGGTCAGGAAGGTGCAAAGGTGTCTTAAAGACACCAATATAGCCCAGTCTCCACCCAGGGTCTTTTGTAATTATAAACAGTAAGATTCATCTTGCAATCCACCAGCATTTGAGATTGTGACTGACCTCCTAGATCAGCAGTTTCCAGCCTGGGGGCCAAACATATAATACCACAAAGGTCAAGGGATCACAGTCAATACTGTGGGGCAGATTCTCTGCTGTGTTAAGTTTCCAAACCACCTGTAGTTTCCTGGCTGAGGATTCCCCTGTACAAACCACATGGGGAAGTGCTAATGATTAACCCCCCCAAATCTAAATAGCCCTAAACTCTGCCTTGTAAAAGCACTGAATGTGCGTTCCCCTTCTGTGAAAGAGACCAGAGAAACTAAGTTGTTAGCTATAATCTGTTCAGT